GAACGTTTGCCCTGGCCCTTCGTCTCTCTCTTCCTTTTCCTCCCTGCGGTGAAGCGACTGAGCAGGAGATCGCTGTCCATCTCTTCTCCTGAATCTTGTAATTCCACTGGAAACAAAGGAAATGGTCAGCCTTGGGAAAAGATAAACTAAACATCTGGGCAAAAGAAAGGGTCACCTACCAAAAGGACCACAATCAAGACCTTCCTCAGGAATGTCCTTCAGCTGGTCAGGCTGATGCCCCCCGGGGATGTCCCTCAGTAGGTCGGGTTGGTGGCGAAGCTCATCCTGAACAAACTCAAACCCCAACCCGGCAAGGGTTTCCTCTGTCACCACCTCTTTGATGTTCATAACACCCTTATTGCAGAATTGGCGAGTGATAGACAAAAGGGTGGCATCAGGTGGGGGCGTGGGATGCGACGGAAGGAAGGGCGCCCTGAACCCGTGAAAGGAGATTCGGGCCCCGTCGAAACGAAGACAAAGAAAGGCTTCCAATCTTTGGTTGACCCCTTCTTATCACTAGCAAAGAGTTTACTGGACCTCTGGGAAAGACTGGCACAAGACGCCCAATCCTTATGGCCCTTGGTCAGTTTGAAGGTGAATATGAAATGGTCCAAGGTCGGATTCACCCCTATATCTTTGCACCGGACAAGGTAACCGGCGATGAACCGGTGAGAGTTGGGGACCAGTTGGCACGGGAGAAGGTCCACCACGTTGAGAAATTCGATCAACAACGGGTGGAGAGGGAAGCGCAGCCCCTTCTTCAAAGACGCCAGATGGACCGTGAAGAACCCCGATGGTGCGTCTAAAGCAGTTTGAGTATGCGTAGGTCTCATGACCTCGATGGAGGGTCCAACCATGTCAGTGGCATCGGCGAACCCCCGGTTAGTAATTTGACAATGACACAACGCCATGATGTTTTCGTCCAATTCGACCCTTGAGCCCTCATCTACCGGAGTTGAGGAAGGGTATTGCTTCCTCAATCGACGCCGTCTGTGGCCATGCACGGCCGACGGCGATGGCCGGGGTGATGGAGTGTGGCCGGGGTTACGGTCAGAGGCCGATTGGCCGGCTTGGCGAGAATTGGGCGATGGGGTAGCCGAATCGGAATCCGAGACAATCATGGCGGCGAGAGAAGGAACTGACCTGGACAGGAAGAAGAACGAGTCGGGTGAGCAGCGGAGTTGCAGACGAACGGTAGTGGAGAAGGCGAAAGGAAGAGATGGCGTCCAGCGGCGGTTTTTAACTGACAACAGGAAGGCGAATCGGCAGGCCATGATTACTTATTCGTGGAGATCGTGCCCAAGTGTCGTGCAGAACCCAAGGAACGGCCCGGATCCCCGCTAGAGCGTCCACGTGGACTTTGCAAACTCCCCACTCCTCCGCTTGGCCCAGCTGAGGACTGAGGAGTTGGGGGGCTTATGATGGGCCGATATCCAGAGGACGGCCCAAATGAACCATTTAAACAGCTTCGGGTCAAGCACCTGTGAAATACTCAAGCTGGGCCGGCCCAAGGAGCTGGGCCTAGTTAACCTCAGGCCAAGCACAGCTGGCAGAGTCAGTCCGGAGAAGGAGACGGAGCTGATTGGCCGTTACGGAGCCGGGAAAAGGGGATCGCGCCCTTGGCGGGCTAGACTCCATCGGTTACGCTTCGCCTTAATTATTGAGAGCTCGTGTATAAATAGGAGGGACCCGAAAAGGGGAGGACTCAAGCTAAATCAAGCTAGTAATACACATCCAATTCTCGAATTCTTGTTCTTAATTTTGTTCTTACGATCCGCTCTGTAAATCGGATCATTTGGTGGATTTATTGTCCATCAAAACTAATTCTTGTTAACGCACCAACACTTTGTGTCCGTATAAATTTTTGATAATGCACCAACACTTATGTCGGTGTAAATCATCAAAATGTTTGTGTATAACTGTGGTGTACAAATGGGGTACAATTTTTGGTGTAAGTGTAACATGACCCTCATATTATTTAAAATATTTGTTACCTTGTTTACTTAGATTTTACCTCCTCCCATTTATGTATAAATATCTGACTAATTCACCTCTATTAATTGAATCTCCTAATTTGGTGGAATCTGGGTCTGCTCAGATTTCAACCTGAACTTCATTTGAATTCCTACAAATTGTTTTTTTGTTTATTTGGCAAAAGCACACTTCATGCTAAATCTAAAGTTACCTTGACAATCTAAATATATTGTGTGCCTTACCATCTTTCATTCTAAATAGTTTAATAAATTTGTTTTTGCATTTCAATGATGAACCCTCATGCTTAACAACATACTCCCTCTGTTCCACAAATAAGGAAAGTATAATTTTGGTTAACTTTCCAATTTTGCCCCTGATGTGATAGGAAAAAGTAAGATGTGATTGTTTGGTTATTAGTGAAAAAGTTTGATGTGATAGGTAGGGTATGAAAAAGTAGGAGTAAAAGTGGTTTTTAATAGAAAGTGGAAGTGTTTTGTGGAAAGCGAAAAAACGAAAGAAGAAGAGTTTTGTGAAACGGAGGGAGTATTTTTTTTGGCATGGACAGAGTAATTCTAATAGCATGTACATAACTAAGCCATTACTAACCCTAATTGACCTCTAATACATACATCCATACATCCATACATACATACATACATACATACATACATGCATGCATGCATGCATGCATGCATGCATGCATACATACATACATACATACATACATACATGCATGCATGCATGCATACATACATCCATACATACATACATGCATCCATGCATACATACATACATACATGCATGCATACATGCATACATCCATCCATCCATACATACATACATACATACATACATACATACATATATACGTACGTACGTACGTACGTACGTACGTACGTACGTACATACATACATACATACATACATACATACATACATACATACATACATACATACATACATACATACATACATATATATATATATATATATATATATATATATATATATTCTTTTTAAAGAAAATAATGGAATGCAAAGCTATAACGATTCATGAAGATGTTCAAAGTTTTTTTAACTTTTGAAATTTACCATAGAAAATTACGTTGAAAGTTATATTTTTTTTTCTCGAAAGAGAAAATGATGAACCATTAGTTCTTGGTCATATATATATATATATATATATATATATATATATATATATATATATAATTGTTGCTTCTTAAAGTTGTGATTGTACACAAACATTGATACATGTGTTCATGTAAAAAAAATGCATACTTTATTATTTCATCTCAAATTTGATTTTCCCCAAAGTAAATTGAAGAAATTGATTTTGTAATTCACCAATTTCCAAACATATATTGGTCTAATGATTCATATTTAAACTAAATTTTTTTATTTAATTTTTTTTGAAATGTCATCATATTTCACTCTGATATACTTGAGGGTGATATATTGCAATAAGTTTATGTGACCAATATCTAATTGCATATTATATTTAGTTTGGGATTAAAAAAATATTGTTTGGGTTTTTAATTTCCCTTTTGACGTGGTAGTATAGAAAGTTAAAGATTCTATACACTACATATTTGATTATAATTTTGTACTTTGGTATGAAAGATTTTTGAAAAAAATGCATATTTTATTACTTGATCTTAAATGTGGTAAATACTTTTGTTGATTCGTATATTAGAAATTCAGAGTACGGAGTATATGACATATAAAAGAGAATTTCAATCGAAGTGTCAAATTTTATCCTCAAAGTAAATCAAATTTTGTATATATTCTAAAGTCAAAAATCTCTCAAAGAGAATAACAAAATAGATATTTTTACTCATGCATTTACCATTTTCCAGAAGTAAAATGGCCAAATGATTTTAAAAAATATTAATAATAAATTGTGCACTGCATTTTCTCATTATGCAATGATATTATATTTTATTGTGAATTACTAAGTTGTAATAAAATTTGTGTGACCAATATATGTAAGTGCATGTTATATGTGGTTTGAGATTACAAAATAGTTTTTGATAATCTAATTTCCTCTAAAGTGGTAGTATAAGACAAAAATTCATATACTCCATATTTGGTTACATTTTTTTCCCATTGTTAGGAAAGATTTTTTAGAAAAAAAATCATGTTACATATTCATTCCCTGAAGCGAGTGACAAATTGATTGACATGCATGAATTTAATAGGCTATCACAACGGTTATGGTTATACATATGAACATATCAAAGTCACCATTATAGTCACATAGAATTACATTCTTAAAACATTGAATATTTCAATATCAATACTCCTATAGAATATTGAATTCTGAAAAAAATCCTTAAGATGTATAATCTCCTAAATTAAATAAGAGTCATCATGTTCATCAAACACAATATATGGTATATGAGGTAGCACCTAAGGTCTTACAATGTCTAACTACCACCCGAAGTGGCTTATTTTTAGGAGTAAAATATTTTCCAAGTTCTTATTTGTAATCTATATATGCTTTCTCATCAATATTTCCGAAGAATGGTGTAGTGGATATATTATAATCAAAGGAGTGATAATACATATTATATTCTCTTTATTTTTTTAGATGTAATAGATTTTTCCTGTTATACAAAACTGACAAATAGCTCCAGAAGAGAATTGCATAATAAGAACTGCATAATAGAAGTAATAAAAGTCTCATAAATATTGAATATTAAGAGAGAATAGTTATTGTCCTGTATTGACGAATATTCTGTTGGGTATAGAAAAATCCTTATTATTTAAGGAGTCTCTATTAATGTTTAAGATACCGGTGGAAATAAATATTATATGACATTTGATCGAGATTTGTTTTAACAAAAACCATAAGTTTACTAGACCAAATTTTATTTTAAACATAACCGATTAAATTATCCCGATTTAGAGCATGTTCTTTAGTACAAGAAAAAAAGCTCGATGTTGGAACAAACTGGAAAAAATACAAAAGTATTAGTTATTTTTCAAATACAAAAAAATACTTTTGCAAAAAAAATAATTATAATATAAAGTTAGCATAAATATAAAAGTATTAGTTTAAAAAAAAATTTTGTGGTAACATTGCACCTCAATTTATTTATGTAGTATTTATTTTAAATAATATATTTGTAATTATAATTTATATATTACAAGATTTTGTTTTAAATATCAGACATGTCACATAATGTAATCAAACCTATTTTTCTTTCATGGTTGACATTTTATTTTCATTGGAAGTCTTATTTTTAAAATAAAGACATATGACTTTTTTTACATTTTTTATGTTTTACTCCTATTTTAGTCTTTTTCTCTAAATTATTTTGACTTTCAATTTTTTTTATAAAAATTAGAAAAATGAGAAAAATTTGAGTAATAAAGGAAAAGGTGATAGGTCTTATATAAAGTTAGATTAATAAAACATTCTATGTAACTATTTTATCTATAATTTTTTTAATATAGTTGAAAATATTGATTTTTTCCTGTTTTATCAAGTAGATTAATATACAAAAAATTGTCTTATTCAGTTGAAAATGTGTCAGTTGTAAACGCTTGGGTAAGAAGTGAATTCTTGACATTTTCTCAACCATTAAAAAAACGATGGTCTTATTATAAAGAAATTGTAGTTCCAACATATGAGAACCTGAAGTTCTCCATCATATGTATTTTATATACAACTGTTCATTTTTATTGATCCTTCCCTATAAATAAAATGTCAAATATTCAAAATTTTGAGTTTCTTACACTTGATATCTCCCGAAGAGAAACAAGTTTGTCCCTTCTGACAATATTTGATTGTGTGTCTTATATGCCCCCTCCCTACAATGCATTCAATATAATGTAGAAGACTGTGTATTGACTTTGGCTTTAACTCTTTGTCTATTGTTAAATGTTTAGAGTTTTTGACAATAGATATATTTACGGCAAAGTAACTTGATTGTCCATTTAATGATAAAGCTAACTATTCTCATTCTTACGGGAGACAAGAATAAACAAAGACTAGTAATAAGAAATTACATAGAATGCATCATTATCATAAATTTTTGACTCTTGAAGTCATCAATGTGATTATGAAGTCCCATTTGCAAAGAAGAGCAAATGGATTACTAGATGCATTCACATATACGAGTAGAGTGACCAAGTTACATATACCAGCATCGTATGCATCGCTTGATTTATGAAAGTTCCACAAGTGAATATTATACAAAGAAATTGTGGGAGAATAATCGGTTCCAAAGATAAGAATCGATGAGAATGAAAATAGCAAAGCAATGCTACTAGTGAACCATCTAAAGGATTATGAATGAAACCCCAGAAAACAAAAATGTCCTAGAAAAGACTAATACGATTCCAAAAGAATAAGTTTCCTAAAGAAACATCTGTAACAAAAGAAAATGAGATCTCTATTTAATTATGTACAAGACAGTAAAATATGGAACCGAAATGAAACACGTGGTAATGATAATTTTTCATATGCTATAACAATGGATGTAATCAATAAAAGAGATTACATACCTAAAATTCAAAAAAGAGTACATGTGCAAAGTACATAAATCATTTACCAAATGGAAAAAGACCCTGAAGGTCGAATATAAGTCACTCGATAAATTAAATATTTTTGGACCTGAAGTCTAAACACCCATAGACGTCAAACCAATAGGTTATAAATGAATGAGTCTGTGTGATATAAGGCATGACCTTTTAATGCAATGGGGTTTCCCAAATCACGTGAGTTGATTATGAGAAAATGCATGTTAAATATAGTATGTATATATTTACTATTAATGTTGTAATCATTGTTAATATGGTAGTTTCCTTGTATAGGATTCCTTCCGTAGTTAGGATTCCTTTGTACTATTTATACGAGGCTTATTCCTCCGTTATCATTCATAGAAATTAATCATTCTTCATGGTATCAGAGCCTTCGTGCCATTCTCTCTCCCGTCTCAACTAAGCGCCGCTGCAAAAACCTAGAAGCCCGCCTCCCTCTCTCGGCCAAATAGCTCACGTCGCCGGCTTCTCTCACCGGAAACCCTCGGCGTCTCTCTCTCCTTCGGCGTCCCTCTCTCCCTCGGCAGTCTCCTCCTCTTCTCGGCAGGCCACCATGTCCGAGAAAACGTCCGTCACCGGCGCACCATCATCTTCACCGACTCCCCACTTGGCTTTCACGACCATCTCCAACGTGAAGCTCCATGTTCCGATCCTTCTCAGTTTCTCCGAGCCCAACTACAAACAGTAAAGTCGGCTCTTCCTCCTTCTCATCCGCCGGTTCTCTCTAAGTGATTTCCTCACCGGCAAGTCTTCTCCGTCTAGCGCCAACGACTCCGAGTGGTTTCAACTCGACACCCTCATTCAAGGATGGATCCTATCCACGGTGAATGACGAAGTATGCGATTTCGTCCTCTCCACCACCAATTCGGCTTCGGAGCTATGGCAAACAATCTATAATCTTTTTCAGGACAACAAGGCGGCCCGGGCCATGCAACTTGAGCACCAATTCCGCACTACTTCGAAGGGCTCTCTCTCCATGGTCGTCTATTGCCAAACCCTACGGAATCTAGCCGATTCGTTGGACGACGTCGACGCCACCGTCTCCGAACAACAACTACTTCTACAAGTCCTTCGTGGTCTTCCAGATGATCTACGGGCCCAAACGTCGTTTCTCCAATACCAAACGCCGCCCCTGACTTTTCTTCAAACCCGCTCGGCGCTACTTTTAATTGAACAACAACGGGCAGATTTGGGGGTTGGCAGCATCGGAGGGGACAACGGGAAAGCCTTGTACGCGGGCAGTGGAGGCCCCGACAGTGGCGGCTCTCGGCGCTACGACAGCGCTGGAGGGGGCCGCTTGGATTCCAGCGGCGGGGGCAGCTCTAGACAGCTGCAGCACCACCGACAGCGTGGTGGACAGCAGTGAGGTCGTGGTCGTGGCCGAAGCTCCGGGTCAAATGCATGCAACACCCTCGAGCAGCCCTCTAGACAGTTCACCAACCCGAACTCTACCCCGAGCCTTCTCGGTCCTCGCCCTAACCCCCACCCGCACAACCCCTACCCTCAAGCTTATTTT